ATGTGATCCACAGAATTAAGCTCAAGTTTTCCACAAGAAGGAGATACAAATAACTAGAGACAAGTCAAAGAACACCTGCAACACCAGACAATTGGTCAACCTCAGGAAGCTAAATTCCTTCCTTCTGGCCTGATTTATCCTGAACATTTCAAGAGAAATTCTGTTTAAGAAAATAAAAGTAGACCAACTGTACATGAGTAAATTATACACAATTAAGATTCCATCAGTGTGTCTCCTATGTTTTCCAATTCCCATCACCTTATACAACTAATATTGTAATTTCCAACCTGTAAACATTCTCTAATTTCTATCTATCTATCTATCTATCATCTATCTATCTATCTATCTATCATCATCATCATCTATCTATCATCTATTTATTACATATTTGGTTCTTAAGGGAGCATAGACTCTGTACCAGGCTAAGCAATAGGAAAATAATTGCTTTAAAATTTTATATCAGACTGTGGAGTTTACAAGATTATGGGGAAGACAGACACTAATTAATTAACCAAAACTACATATACATGTAGTAGGAGAAAAGTACAGAAAACTATGAGAGGAAACAAAGTCTCAAATAGATGAAGTACCCTTATTGTTAATAACAAAAATTATTTCACTCTTATTGAGTGAATACCATACATCATGCATTGTACTAAGTACTTTATAGGTATTTTTTAATGTTTTTATCTGAATATAATTGACATACAATGTTACCTTCATTTCAGGTGTACAACACATGTATTAATCCATTTTTCAACACAACTTCCCTATGAGAAAATACTATATATACTTATCTTACAGAGGAGAAAATGAGGCAGAAAGATTAAGAAATTTACTCAGTAAGTAAGATTCCAAAGTTTATGTTCTTAACTATTTATTACTTTAGCTGATAAACGATGGACTCAGGTTCTGACTACAAAGCTCAGATTGAATTTGTCTATACCTTATAAAATAGGATGTCTTCTCATAGTATATCATATTATTCAGTGTGCATTCAGCTGTCAATCAGCTGATCAGCAATATATTTGGAATACAGAAAATGATAGTTTTGTTCCTTACATGACTTTCCCCTTCAAAAAAGTATAGATGAGATTAAACCATGTGTGGTTCTCTGGGCTGAGTGTGGAGCCTCCTTAAGATTCTATTTCTCCCTCTGCCTTCCTCCCACTCCTGTATGAGTGCTCGCTCTCTCTTCTGAAAAAAAAAAAGAAAAAAAAAAAAAAGGATTGTGAAAAAAGGTGGGAGGTGGCGAGTGTTCCAGGCTGGCTCAGTTGGTACAGAATGCAACTCTTGATCACAGGGTTGTAATTTCAAGCCCCACATTTGGGTGTAGAGATTACTTAAAAAAATTTTTTTAATGTATATCATAGGAGGAAAAAAGAACAATAAATGTTGAAGCCAGACACATTTGGACTTCTCAGCTATGTGATTTCAGGTAAACAATTAATCTGTTAGTCTCTGCTCATCTTAAAATAAGGATAACACAGCCTGGGTGGCTCAGTCCATTAAGAGTCTGACTTTGACTCAGGTCAAGATCTCACGGGTCCCCCATCGGGCTCTGCTGACATCTTGGAGCCCATTTCAGATTCTGTGTCTCCCGCTCTCTCCCCGCTCTCTCTGGCCCCCCCTTGCTCATGCTCTGAATCTCTCATTCTGTCTCTCTCAAAAGTACACAAACATTTAAAAATGTTTAAAATAAATAAAGTAGGGATAGCAGTTCTGTGATCATAATATTGATGGGCAGATTAAGTGAAACAACATGTATTAAAACAGTACTTGAACTTTGGTGAGCATTGTTATATCCTTCTTTCTCCTTCATGTGCATGTGTGAGTGTGATAATCTAAACATTCATCAGATATCAGGAAATATGTGATATATTAAGAAAAATGTTAGAATTAAAACAATATCATTCCTTCGATCATTTGTTTATTTTTTAAGTACACATGAATTAGATTTCCTTTAAAAAACTACTCATTAGAGGGGCACCAGGGCGGCTTAGTCGGTTAAGCATCCGACTTCGGCTCAGGTCATGATTTCAGGGTTTGTGGATTCGAGTCGCCATGGGGCTCTGTGCTGAGAGCTAGCTCAGAGTCTGGAACCAGTTTCAGATTCTGTGTCTCCTTCTCTCTTTGACCCTCTCCTGCTCACGCTGTCTCTTTCTCTCAGAAATAAATAAAATATTTTTTAAAAACTACTCAATAGATTCATGATCTTTTTTTTTTAAATATTTTTATTTATTTCTAGGATAGAGAGACAGAGAGACAGCATGAGCAGGGGAGGGTCAGAGAGAGAAGGAGTCACAGACTGAAACAGGCTCCAGGCTCTGAGCTGGCAGTCAGCACAGAGCCCGATGCGGGGCTCGAACCCACGAACCGCGAGATCATGACCCAAGCGAAAGTCGGACGCTTAACCGACTAAGCCACCCAGGCGCCCCATGATCTTTTAGATAGGTGATAAATATTCTTATTTTCTCATAGATTCTTCCACCACTGTATCACTTAAATCTTTTAAATAAATTAAAATAAAATTCAGAATTAATTGTAATGAAGTAGAGTGAGAATTTAGGAGCCTTATAGGAGCTTATACTCATAAAATTCTTTATGAGAGCTTTTATCATTAACTAGGAATTCTGTAATTTTTAGGAAAAAGTCCAGGGTCTACTGAAATAAGTCATTAATAAAAAAAGCATTGCATGAGCACATGCTTACTCCATGTCTAGCACAGTACAATATAAATTTAAAAAAATAAGCTGTCTAATGGTGTAATTCCAGCCAGCCAACCAATTCATGAAAGCACTTGGTGGTGTCCTCTTTTATTTTAAATTTTGTGCATGTGGATATAACTATAGCTTTATATTGCTATTATCAGTCATACATATCAATACAGTATCTCTGAACAATGTCATTAGTCTATAATTTATATATCTTCATGGTCATTTGTTGGTTCACTCCAAAACACTTTCTTACATATGCGAAACTGAGGCATATGGTTCACTTGCAGAATGGAAGTTCAGTTTTTCTATTCTGCAATCATTATTGCATCTTTATTTTGTGCCAAGCGAGGCTATAAAAATAGAGAAAAGGACTCTAAAAATCATAACATTGGAATAAAGGAATGGGTTTTAAATAATTGTATGCTCTTTATGCAATTGCGTGTGTATGCAAATGTGTGTATGCTCAAACAGCAATAGAGCTCTAGATATGTGTTTAGTAGAATCCAACACACAATTAACTGATATTAAAATTTACAAAAGTTGTGATTTGTTTAGATGTGTTTTTAACAGCATCCACAGACAATTTGACTTTCATATTAAAGATACTTCAAGAACATCTAGGAATAGAATGTTTGAAACAATTGTACAGGATATTATAAAATTAGTAAATATGAAAATGTTACTTTATAGAAAATATTGAACAGAAATAAGCTCTCAGGTAGAAGAGAAGCTTTGAAACACGACTGAGAAAAACATGTCAATTTGGACAGTGACTACAGTTCTATGGCTTTTCCTTTTTCATTGAAGGTAACATGTACATATGTGATCACAAATATTTTCTAATGCTTGTTTTGTTCAGATCCTGCCTAGACTGACATAACACTGAACTAAGAGCTATAAGTATGCTGGTGCAGGTGCGCAAAGAATGAACAGTCCTTGTCTTCTGTGATTATCTAAGACCAACTTCAATTCTCTCAGAATATGTTCTTTCTTTCCTCTGCTACATTAGCGCTTCCATTTTCTTATATTATGTAGCACTTAACAAATTGCATTGATTTTTCTCTTTACAGAATTATGTCCAATCCTAGAGCTTCTTAGGGATTCTTGCTTGGTATTGGGCAGCACTTGGCTTATTTTAGATACTCAGTAAACATTCCTCAACTCTGCTTATGCTTCATAGGTGCAAATTCACCTAAAATGTTAACCTCTTTAAAAGTTAACTTGTCTTTGACATTCTTAAGCATGAAAATATTGACAAACAAGTCAGCATGTTTAGTTATAAAATTAGATGTATAATAATTAATTCTGCTAAAGGACAATTGTGGATAAAATTTGAATTATGATACAAATAGAATATATCTATGCCATCCTGAAAAAAATGGATTAATAGAAAAAAAATGAATGAAGGTATGAAAACCCCAGACCCCAGGAGGCTGGGATATCATTGATAAACTCTACACAAGTGACAATTTCTTTTGAGGCAAGCCATATATTTTTGTAAAAAGACATCCATTGCCTGCTTCAGAAGTTAATATCTAAAAACGAATTGGAAGTGTTTGTGCACTGTTGTGGCAGAAGGAAAGGAGTGTCTTACTGAAAGTGATTCTCACAAGTGGGGAGGAATAAATGGATATCAGGCTGCTCCTGGAGCTGTTATCATGACTTTTCTCTCCCAGAGGTGACAGCAAGGATCGATCAGCAATTCTGATTACATTCCTCTAGATAATGGACTAAAACCCTTGCAGAGCAATTAGTACATAATTACAAACTACTAAAAGTTAGCTGATGACAGCCAACTGTGTGTGTATGTATGCATATAGCCATACATCGGTTTGTAGATACAGAGAAGTTTTCCAAAAACATAAGAAACTGATAATTGTGATAACTTTGAAGAGGGACAATAGAAGATCAGAGTGGAGGGGATGAGGAGAAATCTTTTACTTTGTACTCTTCTGTAGAGATTGAATGTTGTACTATAGAATGCGTAATTTTTACAATGTGAAGATAACATATGATGCTGTAAATGGAAAAATGTATAAAAGAAGAGAAATTATCCACTCGACCTATATATCTAAGCTCCAGCCCCTTACACCCTCAATGCACACTCAAACATCACCTATCAAACTGTACATCTCCTGTACCTGTGTCTTTAATTTTTTGTCATTATATTGTAGACATTATAATAGATTAAAAGCTGCCTTTACTGTACAAAGAGTTAAAGTTGGATCCAGTTCTCATAAGTCCATCTTTTGTATAATTTATAAAGAAGGATACATTGTCATTTTATTTCAAAAGTATATCTCTTCTCATCAATTTCCAAAAAGCTTGTTTCACATTCTTGTTCCTCAGACTATAAATGATGGGGTTCAACATAGGGCTTATAAAAGTGTAGAAAACAGCAATAATTTTAGACTGCTCCACTGACTTGTCCGTGGGAGGTCTAACATACATGCAGAAGAGTGTCCCATAAAACACAGTCACTGCCACCAGATGGGACCCACAGGTAGAAAAAGCTTTGTGCCTGCCTTCAGCGGAACGCATCCTCAGGATAGCAAAGAGAATGAAGATGTAGGAGATGAGGATTATGAGGAGGGAGATGGAGAGGTTAAATCCTGCTACCACAAACATGGACATCTCTTTAATGAAAGTGTCAGAACAAGACAGCTGGATGAGGGGTGGGTCAGCACAATAGAAGTGATTGATAATGTTGGAGCCACAGAAGGTCAAGCGGTACGTCCACATGGTTTCCATCAGGCCGCTGAGGAAGCCGTAGACATATGGGCCAACAATCAGGCGAATACAGACCTCTCTGGACATCTTGCTGCTGTAAAGCAAAGGGTTACAGATGGCCATGTACCTATCATAAGCCATTACAGCTAGCATGTAATATTCAGTAATCACCATGGCAATGAAAAAATAACACTGGACTAAACAGGCAGCATAGGAAATAGTTTTCTTCTCAGATAATAAGTTCACCAACATCTTGGGAGTCACATTAGTGGAATAACACAAATCCAAGCAGGACAAACTGGCAAGAAAGAAGTACATGGGAGTGTGGAGGCGTGAGTCTATCCTGATCAATACCAACATCCCAAGGTTCCCCCCCACGGTGATCAAGTAGATCACCAGGAACAGCACAAAGATGATGAGCTGAAGCTCTGGACGGTCTGTTAATCCCAAGAGAACAAACTCAGTCACCAAGGTGGAATTTCCTCGGACCATTTTCTTAGCTATCAGCATTGTTCACTTAGATGAATTAAAATAAAGTAAGAAGTGAATGAGAAGTCCATCATATATTTCTTCTCTCTCTTTCTCCCATTCTCCTCCTTCTCACACTCCCAATCACTCTCACACATGACTAGTATCAGCATCTGAGATTGCAGGAACTGAGACTTTTCAGAAGGTGGTAGCCCCTAGAAGCTAGGGTTTAATGTGCAGATGGTTTCCAAGAGAATGGCTCATGTGACACCACCTTGTTTCAGAATGGGGACCTGATGACCTAAAGTCTATCTAAAAATGGATTGAACCACCAACGGTCACTTACAGTTTTCTATAAAATCATGGGCTTCATCAATAGGCATGAGAATGGTACCAGATGAAATGGTGACATGTGTTTGGAAACACTTCTGCAGTCAACAGTGTGTGCAAATTTAGAAGTTCAACTTTTGAGAATTACACTCCACACTGGTTTTAGGAGAGAACCCAAAATAACAAGGCTTTGAAGGAATATATCTGGAGGCTGTTTTTACTGTGAGATTAATAAAGTAGAAGAAACTGTGGTATTCATATGTGAACAGACAAAGATAATGATCCCAAATTTGAAAATAACAAAGCCCTGTATAAATCACTAATGAAGGAATTTTCATTCAGAAACATTTGTATGAAGAAAGGAAGATAGACATAGATTGGGGAATAAAGAAGTGGTCAAGGAAGAGGGTTATTCTTTTGGATAAAAGTATCAATTCACATAATATCAATTATAATGAAAATAAAATGAGAAATTATTTTTCCAGGAGTTGGGAGAATATATTTTCATCATGGATTCTCAATGTTGTTATGTTATTGTACGTGATAGACTAAATAAGATAAGGGATCAGATCTCAAATGCCTCTGGGAGCCTGTTAGATAATAAGGATGAGTGAAGTGGTCTGGGTATAAGGATGAACAGAAATGAACTAGAGAGTGACTCCCAGGCTAAAAAGCCAGCAACCACTCAGGCCGGTAGAATTTTTATTACATGATACTGTGAGCCTCATGTTCCAAGATCTTAAGAGCTTCCAAAGGTAAACAGGTATCAGGATTCATTATTTAAAGTAAATCCTACCATACTCAGTGTTGGCAAATAATCTCATTTTTAAGCTTAATCTTCAACCAGAGCATAAAAAAATAAGTCTGTATTTCTGATTCACTGAAGATACAAATAAGAATTCTATGCAAGGGCGATGTCACCGGCTCTAACTGCAGGATCGAAGCTGTTCCTGGATATTGAACCAAGTGCTCTCAAAAGTCAGCTACTTCGACTCAGTGATGTTTCCAGAATGTTGTATGATTTATTCATTATAATAAGATAATCTTTGGATATAAATAGCACTGGATACTACATGTATGTGAGTCACTTTACTGGGGAAATAAAGGTAACTGGTTACAGTGCTGGTCTTGAGAAAGCTGGTTGGTATCATCATAGTAAAGGAGGCACATGAAGAGAAAGTTAAGGTTATATGTGATAAGTTCAATAATTAAGATTTGAACAAAGTAACTCATTGTGTCCAGAAAATCAGGATAGCCTCAAAGAATCATAACCTTTAACTGAGACTTACAGGATAAATAAGAATTTTCTAGAAAGATAAGGGTATGTAAGGCTTTCAGATAGTGTGAACAGTACACACAAAGACAGGAGGCTTTTGAGAGAAATCAAAGGTATTCCGCGTCAATGCTGGGATGAATTTTCTATGGATTAAACTACTACAATGTTGGTCATTGAGAGGAAACTACAATAACTTGAGAATTAGGACTTGTGTAAAGAACAAAAGTTCTCTTTCCTCACTTACCAGAAAGCTGAGTCTATTTAGACAATATTTGCCTCAGCATTACATGTTAATCTTCCATTTTGATGACATTAAGACACTCATCTAACATTTAGATTTGTACAGCTTCTCTAAATACTAGCACCTGGTGGCTAAGCATATTGTATTTAACAACCAATAAAGGCAATAAAAATATAAAAGAGAAATATGAATTTAATTTGCATTTCTCACCATCTCCTTTAAATAGGTTCAGCAAGCATGCTCTATAATTTGAGAAGGAAAAGACTACATTTTGAATATAGTACTTTTTTCCATGCAAACAGGCCATTCAGTTTTACAAAACAGTGATGCTGTTCTATTTTATTTTAGTTTATTTTACCTTTAGAAAAACCCTGCAACTAATACACAGCATCAAAATTCAAGTCTTCGTAATTCACATTAAACCTGAATGATACTTCCTGTTCACATATGCAATAGGAAAGGGGGGGGGGCGATGGGACACAGATAAACCTTCAGTTTGCTGTCACCAGAATTTTTAGACTAGTATTTTCATAACTGTATGCATCAGAACAACTGGATAGCAGGCAATAAAATACATCTATGCTAAACCTAAATTTGAAAAAAAGCTGAGTTTTTAAAAATGTTTATTTATTTTTGAGAGAGAGAGAAAGAAACAGAGAGAAAGAGACTGAGAGAAAGAGACTGAGAGAGAGAGAACACAAGCTAGGGAGGAGCAGAGAGAGAGGGAGACACAGAATCCCAAGTAGGCTCCAGGCTCTGAACTGTCAGCACAGAGCCTGATGCAGGGCTTGAACTCATGAACCGTGAGATCATAACCTGAACCAAAGTCGGACGCTTAACCGACTGAGACACCCAGGCGCTCCCCTCCCCTCCCCCAAATGCTGTGTTTTGAAAAACAGAGGGGGGAAATGGGTTTCTCTGTTGCAGGGAGTCTCAGAGCCTTTTATATGCCCACATGCACTGTGAAGCTACCCAACGTGGGCAAGAACATGCAGTTTTTCCTATGCTCACTCATTCAAAGAACCTGAAGCATCTCTATTCTCGTTAGACTTAGAAACCTTAATTCTGCACTGACCACCCAAGATCGCTAAAACCCTTGCACCTCAATAGTGAAACAAAACACAGGAATGTAAAATCTATCCCGCACCAATTGGCAAATCACCTTGTTTCAGCAGTGCCACTGGTAGCGTACTAAAGCACTCTTGAATTTATCATTGATTCATGCTCTCAAAAAAACAAACAAACAAACAAACAAACAAACAAAAAACAACTGTTGGAGGAAATACAGAGCTTGGAAGAAGAACCTCGTGAATGGGAAGGAATGGAAGCAAACAGAAAACAGCTAAGAAATCCTAGGGAAATAGAATGTGACGTGACATGAGGGCTCCATATATTAATTGTAGGTGGACACAAGTCTTTTCTGCTCCAAGCACGTAATCTGTGCAGCTGGACCCTAAACACTAGCTTCTGTTTGCACATCATATCATATCAAGTAAATAATAATGGTTGCTTATTAAATGTCTATTTGAGATAAGGTATATGGTAAATTACCATATATGTGGCTTTAACATAAGTTCCACTTATTTTGAATATTCTCATATAATTTGCACCTATTTTAACTTTTCTGTGTTGAAATTATTACATATTCTTTTTAAAATCATGCTTCCTTAGTTGTATCTCCTCTGTCTTTTTTACAGACATGTCTTGCAATCCATGACCCTGTTTCTAAAACCAATTGAATTCAGGGGCACTTGGGGGGCTCAGTCAGTTAAGCATCCAACTTCAGCTCAAGTCATGATCTCGCTACTCTTGAGTTGAGCCCCACATCAGGCTCTGTGCTGATAGCTCAGAGCCTGAAACCTGCTTCAGATTCTGTGTCTCCCTTTCTCTCTGTCCCTTGCTTGCCCACAATATGTCTCTCTGTCTCTCAAAATAAATAACCATTAAAAAATTAAAAAATAAAATAAAATAAAACCCATCTAATTGAGTTTCTTGCCTGATTCAAATTTTAAAGGCCAAAAGTGTCTGGAAACACAATTCTCAATATCTTTAAAAAAAAGATATTTGAGATTTGAAATGGGCATCTGACAAGTACTATTGGTAAATGTTAAATATTTTTGGTAGATATCTACGATAATTCCAAACCAAACCTGCTGCAGTAGAAGGAAAGCCTTTTTACTATTGGAAATAAGTATCTGAATAATTTTGGAATACTTCATAGAAATTCAGTTGAAGATTATTCTTATTTCTATAAGGAAAAGCTTGTAGAGCTTTCTTGCACTTCTGGGCTCGTGTTTAATGACCGTGGGAACTGCTCTTGAAAAACTTCCTATTTAAAGTACTTCACCCAGCATTCCACGTAGTTGGAAAGATGATTCATTTATTTGATATTTATTTAAGGAGTAGCAAAATTTATCCCCCATGATTCCTAATTTCTAACTTCTATTTCAATATAGAATACCAAGTAATTCATGCTGAATTATTGGAGAGATTTTTGAACTAGTTTTATAAATAGTTGTACACATTTTTCTCTCCATGTGAGAAATATCACACACACACAAACTAAATTTCAGTGAGTTAGGCAACCAGACATCCTCCTAAAGAAAGATTTCCCTCTGACTTTGGTATCCAATTTGAAATTTCTGGATAATTAGAAGTCAGTGCGAGTAGCAATGAGTTTTTTTATCTATGTCCCTCATTTCAAGAAATATACTGAAAATAAAATTCATCATAAGGTTTTACTGACTCAATAATGTTAAATTGATTTTCTCTGAATTCGAATGATCATAGATAAACAAAATAACAGAGACAACATAGATTTTTCATGCAATTGAACTTGATTCACAAGGATATTGATATGCGTATGTATTTATTTTCTATTATGTAACAATGCAAGAAAACAGAGCATTACCTTGTAATTTAGTAGGCATTATTGAGAAAAAAAACAGGCATCATTTATGGTAAATTGGTAAACATGATAAATATTTGGTGAAAATTTGGAGTTCTAAGAATTTACTTTCCCACTCAAAATCAATCGATCAAAGTGTGAAGCTCACTTCTATAAGTGTTCATTGATATCTTGCACACCCTGCTGGTTGAAATGTTCATTTGGGGAATAGTTTGCCGTCTTCAGGGTCCAGTTTAAAGGCAAATGTTTAAGATAGCAGCACAACACTGAATTGTTTTCATTTTTGC